TATAATTATCTATATATATGTAAATGCCACGTTCGAGAGATTATTTTGTGTTTGCATGAACTCAAATTGTAGGAATGTCATTTGACAAATACCTATAGATGTTACCTTTAGATAATGAACGTGAATACAATATACGGGTTGCACTCTACCGATTGAAACACATCTAAGGGAGCGGGGTTGAGAGCAGGCAAGGCCTCGCCTAGCGGCAAAGTCAAAGCTAGGATGTTTAGTTGTAACCCGACTTGGAAAATTAAAAAATAATAATACATAGAACTGTCCTTAGATTATGCAAAAGTAAGAAACAGGTCGTATTCGGGTTTTAAGTTTTAAGGATATAAGTAAGAATAAGATCATTTACTTTTCTTAATGTCTTCTCTTTTCTATTCAATCTATTAATTAGGCCTCTCTTTGTCTGTAATACTCTTCTGTGTCTGTGAAGCGTAAAGAATGCAAAGAAATCTTCTTTATTTATCTCAGATGTAAGTTCGAAACCTGCAAAGCATGAATTAATTTTAAAAAAAACTAAGACTAGATGCGGACAGAGGTATACAGAGGTATTTTTGTTACATGACACTTCTTACACATGGTCATCTTATCCCTAACTAGGCAGAGCCTGTACTATACGTATGTCACTATATAAGTTTTGCGATGCTCGAAATTTGAAAATGGAACGCATCTGCGTCATATATTATTACTCGTAAAAGACAAATTTAGTTGAAAATTACCACAGAAGGCCATTTACAACAAAAAAAAATTATTATAATATATCATCATTTCCAGCTTTTTCGTCTGCTACAATAGAGAGATATGTTAGAACTTTAAATGTGTTTTATCTAAAATTATAAGCTTAGAACCTTTAAAATCAGCTTGCCTTGTGCCGTGAGACGCGTCTGGTTTAGAAGTTTTCAAAGTTGTGCAGAAGAGACGACCAGAGACCAGGCTCCGGGGAATGATGCTAATCCACTACAATGTGTCTTCACACACTCACGTCAGAACAAAGGCGTTTATTTAAGAATCGGGTATTAAAACCCTACTTCACCTACCTTACAGCCCCAACTTAGCTTCTTGTGACTTCTTTTTATTCCCCACCATAAAAGATAAGATAAAAGGCAAGTTTTTTTCAAGTGCCGAAGAAGGGGTGTCTCCCTACGAATTAGCCATTTTTGACCTGTCGGAGGATGATTGGAATAAGTGTTTCAACTGATTTAAGCTGATGGAAATTTTTATGGAGAGTGATAGAGAGTATTTTTTTTTAATATAATATAAATTGTAAGTATATATTGTTTACTTTATAAAATTTATAGAGTCACCTACGTAGCAGATTGTTGATAAACAGACCTTGAGGACCATATCTTTCCGTGTGGTGACGTATTGAAAATATGGAGTTTCACTATCCTTATTAATCGCGTGTATGTCGTTAGAGAGCAAACTACGCAGGGCAACAGTACTGCAAAGAGAAGAAAAACTTGACACAAACCCTATACAGTAGACTATTAAAGGCTACTGATGTTAAACCTTATAGTAATTTAAATTCAACTATTCGCTCTGAATGGGAATACCTTCGACCGCTGACGAAGCAATCAGAATGACCTGACCGTGAGTGCACGGATGGCGTAATGGTTTAAGCGGTCGCCACGCCGCTTACTACTACGCTGAGTGTTGTGGGTTCGATCCTATGTGTGATCCACAAATTATTGTTCTGAGTCTGGGTATTCTTTGTTTCCGTTTCGTGTGATCTTACGTTTTATTAAGAGCGTTCTCGGCTATTTATGAGATACAGGTAAAAATCCAAACAAATTATAAAATACTATGGCTTATCGCGTTAATGATGATGTCGTGCTACATAATTTGTACGATACAAGTTGTTCTAATTGATTATTGACACCGTTTCTTAATTACATCTGATATTTAACCTCCCAAACATTAGAACAATATCGAGGCAATACGTATTTATAAAATCATCGTTAGACCATCACAAGATTTATCAAGTGATTCTGTGTTTTGTGAATTGAATTGTTGTTTAAAATGATTTTCAATCGCTTAATACTACAGAGGTAAGCAAATGTTATTATTAACACGTGATAGAAAATTACCAAAATGGATTTATGTATTCACACATGTCGATTTCGATCACGAGAACATAGCATAATATATCTGTCCGAGTGATCGTGTCAGAATATTGCGATGAACTTGTTCTGATAACCATCATAACAGTATATTTCTGTTGCACCAAGTCATTTTGAAAAAAAATATTTACCAACTTCTTATTGTCACCACTTAAAACAGCAATAGGGAATATGTATATGTTTCTTTACTTGTTAAATTCATTTTTCACTTCGTATTAATATAGTAAAACTAAAATGTTGTTGAAAGTGTACAAATAATATATAAAATATCGATTAAATTGGCCATGTTCAAAAGCCACCATTTTACGCGCGCTTTTGGATGACGTCACGGGGCACATTCTGTGTTGTTTACTTTACGCATTGAAAGTTGTTAGTTAAGTTTTTTCAGTTTAAATCGCTGTTTAGTCATTTAAGAAGTTAAAAAACCATTTCATAGAAATTGCCTCGTACCAATGTACCAAAACATTTACAGAAGTACACCAGATAAAGTCTTTTTCTGTTTCACAGATTCGAAAGTACGTAAACAATGGTGTAAGGTTATGAGAAGAGATAAAGTATCTTCAGTATCACATTTACATTATTGTAAAGATCATTTTAGTGTCAGTATGTTATATTTCCACAGTTATTATGGTATAAATTGGTCCGAAGTAAATTCTATAGGCCTAAAAGGCGGATGTTTTATATAATAAACAATAATTTTATTTGAAAACAAATAAAAGATTCGAGTGGCCATCTACTTCGTTAGTAATAGTAATAATTAATAATTATCTTGCAGCTCCTTTGTCCTCAGCAGACGTAAAAACGACATATATTTGGTGCAAAATATGCTGTCATCATAAAAGCATATATTTTTGGTCCGATTGTGCTTTGACAAAACCGCTTTCCGTCATTGTAATTTACTTCTATCACTGTGTATCAAAATCGCACTAGGTTATGAAAAACACTACAGGAAAATAAATGAAAACAATTTTTCTCTTAAACACGACTAGCAAAGTATGAAAATGAATGCTATAACGTGCTCTGTGACGTCAGATTCCGTTTCCAATAATGGTTTTTTCTATTTTTTTATGGCATAAGAGGGCAAATGGACAACTACCGACGCCCATGGACACCTGCGACTCAAAAGTCACAAGTGCGTTGCTGCTCTTGAAGTCCTTACCGCTCGAGTCAGCTGGAGGGGGGATTTGGGCTCCGGTAACCTCACTCACTATGTGAAAGGCAACGAAAGAATTGCTTAACAGTGGTTTTCTGTGAGGCATTTCGCGCACATAATTTTCATTTACATACGAGTACAAACTAAATAAGAAAATAATAGTTTAGGTGTAATGTTAGGACCATAAAGAAGCATGGATAAAAAATCAAGAAAATTTTAAATACTTGCATATTCCCTTATTGGGAAATATTATAACTCAATTAAGTCGTTAAATATCTGCTCCATGGTAGGCAGTGGGTAGTACTCGAAAAAATTGATTGAAAATTTGGAAAAAATGTGAGCTGAGCAGCGGTCAAAGTTAGTCTTCCATCTTAACTAATGTCTTACAACCTGCTCATGTTATACATGAGGTAGAGAAAGAGGTGTTAGAAAAGTACCGGAACAGCAGAATAATTCGCTAGGGATGCATTTTTTCGGATATACTTTAAACCTGACTATCTAATGGCGACCATGAAACTGACCTTGATCACAACCTTACAGGTTATCTCAAGGTCAAGGATAATATTCAAACGAAATTGCATATGTTTGAGCCCGGAATTGAAAAGAGAGGACAAAACTACAATCGAATATTATCTTTAGTACTCAAATTTAGACCGGCTCGTCTGGAGTGATATTATGATATTATAAAACCGGTGTTAAGCAACTATTTCGTTAGATAACACCGAGTGAGTTAGGTTACCGTTCAAGACCTACGGTAGTCACTTACCATTAGGGGACCCGTCTTTTTATGGTATAGGGTGGCAGACGAGCATACGGCTCCATAATGTTTAGACACTACCGCCGCCCATATACACCTACATCTCAAGAGTCACAAGTTTACACCCGACATATACACACACGAATGCACGCTGAAATAAGCCCTTACACAAACACGCACAAGTATATCCTCACGCACTTTTTAACGTTTTAATCTTAAGTTCTACCATAAAATCACTACTATTTTCTGGAAATGTTAAGGGGACCGTACCTGTACCTCTATATCACAGTAACTTCAACGTCATTTGAAAGGTAAAGACTTGAACTTCAAGATACCTTTTGTGCTTTTTTAGGCATAATAAAATTTAAAGGGTTACATAACCTCAAAAATGGGCAAAAATAGCGTTTTTTGAACTTTTAGATTAGAACATCTTAAAAACCTGACGTGATAGAGCAATTCTGATGCCGAATTCCGATTGAGCGCACCAAAATTCTTTGGGAAAGAATACTCTGGTTTCTGGGACAGAAACTTTGACAAATTTGGTTGGCCTGTGTTATTATTTTATAGTATAAGTGCTTTGCCCACCCTAGAATCAGGGGAAAGGGAGGGGAAGTTTGGACGACCATAACTTCGCAGTGAAGGAATCGCCATTAATAACGTTTTTCTATGAGACCAGAAGACAGAACTGAAAACTTATATACAGTGGTATTCAATTTCAATTGTTTTTTCCATCTCAAAAAATGCCCAACGCACCTAAAGAAGTTTTCACTTCAATATATACAGAGATGTCGGTAACGGTAACAGTGTCGCAATTTCAATGGGTTTTTCCCATCTCAAAAAATATATTCTTTTTCTTTTGTTCAAAAATACTCAAAGCGTCTAAGTTTTTACTTAAAAAATATTCCAAATAAAAAGACAGTCTAGTTACACAAGCAACATTTTTTATGAAAATAAATTAACAATCATGTTAACTATTCTCGTTATTGTTCGCAGAATTATCAAGTACTTCAAACTAGATCAGCTACTCAAAAAAAAAGATGACTACCCACTTATGTTCATTCACCAGCTGAGGATACCTAAAGAAGATTACAAGCCTAAACTGAAATTGAGCGAATCTACGGAATTACTCATTTCCGCACTGGCATCATTATTATGTATGCTATTATGCTTCTCCGTACCATATGTAGTTTTAATATCACCTTGTGAGCCTCTCAAAGATGAAGGTTACTTAACTCTGTATAATTTTGCTAAAAGCTTAGAAAAATATACTTTTATGATGGATAGGATAATTATAATAGTGTCAATACTTTTATTTATTGTTTTGGTGGTAGCTATCACTGAGGCCTTTAATAGAATTGATTTTAATGAAAGCCCATGGGTAGCGATGGGTATATACACTCCACCTAAAAAGAAAGAAAAGAAAAAGATCCAAGAGCGCTACGTATGGCACTTCGCGCACTTTAGAGCAAACGTTTAAATCAAACAGTTACAGATTGTGTATATAAATATACGATTTTATTATAAATTCTCGCATTGTATTTTTATTACTTAATTATAATAGGTTCTCCAATATTTTTTTCTCTTCATAATGTACAAATATTTTTTTCTGTAATTTATTATGCTACAATGAATCCAAATTTGCACATTTCATCAGTGAGATTGCAAATGCGCAAAAGCAATTGACAAAACCGCGAACCTATCAATATTTTCTAAAATTTACAGGAGAAAGAAATAATTGATTATCTTGTTAATAGGATACATTTTGACGACTCAACTTTTTGTAGTCCCTTTGATTCATACTTTAGGTATAGGAATTTGATAAAAAAATATCAATATCTCTGTTATAATATACATATCTACATATGCATTTTTTGTAAATACGCGGTTTTGCAAACTGCTTTATTCATGTTTCAAGCGGAAGGCCCTTCAATTGTTATTTTTTTATTTATTCATACACGTTGATAGGAATACAAGGAAGGACATAGAGTAAGTTTTATCCAGAAAAGAAGTACTGCATCCAAAACATTGAAAAACATGCAAATAATTATGTATGGCATTATATAACGTATAGTATTTGGGACAAACCCATAGTGGTTTTTGGAATGCCTATTGTAAATCATTGTATTCTTTCGGAGAAAAAATAATAATAAAAAAAAAAATAAGATGAAGGCGTCAATGTGTGGCGGTAGCCACTTTCCATCAGGTAACCCGTATGCTTGTTTGCCTCTATATCATAAAAGAAATTTAAATTTGAAAAACTTTATCATGTTCATATTACATTTACTTAGACTATATTATTGAATTTAATATTCACAACATACGTAATTTGAATTTCAAAAGTAAAGTTTTGACCAAAACATTTTAGGTAACGAAAACCACAGAACATCATTAGCATAAATATCAATACAACTGAGTACACCATAAAAGCGTATATCCAATTTGAAGAAAGCAGATCAACATTTTATTGTGTACTACTTTCTATTCAAACATGACAATGTTTAGATAAGGTACCCCATTTGATTTCTATTGCAAATAATCTTTTCAAAGGAAAAAGGGAATGAACGTAAACAAATATGGAAACTACTCGTATTTTCGTAATGGAATATGGTGGAGTCTTCTGTAGTATATTGATATGCATTAGGCGCGTCTGTACTTATAGAGTTTGTTTATGAATTTTGGGCTAGTTTCAGTTTTAAATCAAAATTTAAACGACTATTATATTTCCTTATTAGTAACTGATGTTCATAGAGAAAGTTTAAGATTATATAAATAATATTGTTATGGGGTCCGTGATTAAATATTACCCCCATATTTACACGAAATAAATAATTCATTTAAATTAAGCACAATTATCTTTAATACGTAATCAATAATTCTCGCTGATATTCGCTTTTAGTGTTTGTCCTTATTCCCATTTGTATATTCGTTGTTTTTTTTTTATGTTAGAGGGAGCAGACGAGTAGATGGGTCACCTGATGGAAAGTGACCATCGCCGCCCATGAACGTCTGCAACTCAGGAGGCGCAAACGCGTTGCCGGCCTTTTAGGAAGGAGGCTCTTTTCTTGAAAGTATGAAGGTCGTATCGGTCCGGAAATACCGCAGACGATAACCCGTTCCACAGATTGGTTGTGCGAGTGTATCGAAAAGAGCACAGTAGTGGAGTGCCAACTATCCTATCAGTGGATGAAAATCTTGCAGTGTTGAACGATGGCGGAAAGTTGCGGCCGGTATTAGTCCCAACAATTCCTCGGAACACTCTCCATAATATATGCGATAGATAATGCAAAGTGAAGCCACATCTCTACGTAACGCCGAGTTAGAATAATCGCAGAACTAGAATGATCCTACACCGGATCACGGCGAGCTTATAAATATAGGCTAGGCTTCTCTCCTAGAATGTTCCAGAAACTTCTTGAAAGTTCTGAGAATAACATGAGTGACTCGACTATGTCTTGTGGAAACTTCCAAAATATCGTGAAACATTATAGGATTGTCGAACATTATCTAGAACATTCGATTAATTCCATATGTATTGATCATAAATGTAGAAAATAATAAAATATTACCTCATTTTATTTCCACTGTTACCTGTCCTTTATACCATAGTCAAATGGTTCTAATCGTTGAGTGGCCTTGATAACATCGATTGTGTATTATTATTTATGTAACACTCATGATTATCATTAACTCGACTTTTTAAATGTCATTATGTTACATTTCATACAACCGGTGTACGGGTGCGGACGGGCAACCGTGGTACAGCAATCAGCACTCGTACGTGTAACACTAAAGGCCTATCTAAATTGAACCGAGCAATACTCGTACGTAACCTACGCCTAAGTACCTAAATCCCTAAATTCCCTTTTTTTGTACATTTACAGAGCTATTACTAGTAGAAAAAAGTCCTCCCTTCGAGCCTTTTTCACAAACTAGACTGGGGTCAGATTTCAGTCCACTAGGACACGGCTGAACTTCGATTTGCGATTGCCATCAAACAAACACAAGCCAAGTACTAGGCGATATCGAAGTTCTGTAGAAAGATTTTTGTCGGAATTTTGGGGCTCCAACTAACCGTAACGATGGCCATAGATGTACGTATGGCATCTGAGGCCAACGGCTTAATATGCTCTACGAGGCACGAAAGCAAGAAAAGCATGAGTGTAAATATGTTTTTGTTTGTTTCCTAAAATAACGTAAGTAGGTTTTATATTGACTTTAGTCAAGACTTCCATATCTCGCTCGACAGAATATATCTACGGGGATTCTGCAAGAATGTTGCTTGCTATTCGTGTGATGTGAGTCAGGTTATAAAATAAGAATATACATATCAAGTAAAGAATGAACACTTGGAAAGCACTTTTTTTAGTAGTAGACGAACATGTGAGTATATTAACATACAACTTCAAGCTGTGTTATACTATTGTGCTAAATTGCAACGAAGCCGAACCAAACAATTGCAAGGTAAGCCAATGGACTTGACCTAAAATTTGATACTGAAAACTGCGTTTTTTCAATGCTATTTAAATATATTTTTGCATCTTCCATTGTATAGTATGTTTTTAAATTTAAATGGGACTAATCTTAAGTACAATAAATTCGTTTTTTTATCGTTATCGTTATCGTTATCGTTATCGATTTAAAAAATGACAAAGATATCGCGTAAATACTAACAAAACTAATATTGTGTCGTGTTGAAAACCTTCTTCTTTTTGAAGTCAGTTTTATCATAAGAATAAAAAGTTCATACACATTTTCTGAAAAAGTTGAATAAATTCTAGCAACAAAACTAAAAAGTTACCCTTAACTTTCATCTAACCGTCGCTCTACTAAGAACATAAGCAGTCTGTAAGTCTGTAACACTCGTCTATCACTATACCTTAATGTTATTTGTTGAATATTATTGTAATGCATACTTGGTATACAATAAAGAGCTAATATTTAATTGATTTTTCTGTTCATAAAACTCAAATGTCTTCCAAATTATAGCCTAACGTAGAACTGTCAATTTCTGATTTGATTTCAGGGCTCGACTATAATATTCAACATAAATTTTAATGTGTGTCCTTTATTGTTTGTTTACCAAAAATTTGTATACTAGTCCATTATTTAATATATGAAATGCTAAAGACCACTCCATCTCTTTAGGGTTCCGTTGTATTAACAAAGAAACCCTTATTCTTTGGCCATATCTTCGCATGTTGTAGTACAATTTAAGTTACTGGGAATTGATAGCTATTGACAATAAATAAAAGAAGAAATCGTACAAGTAAGTAGGCAAGCAGTGGATACACAAATTAAAAAAGAAGTCAAATATCATTCTTAAGTTCCAATCGTTTATTTCTCTGAATCGCGTTTAACTTGTGGCATCAGCAACTCGTCTACATTTCGCCACTGCACGCACTAACCGTACCTCACTGGTCTAGCGACGGTATCCAGTTGTTAATTTTGCAGAACCGCCTCGACTCTTGTGGTTTATTCGTACGTTGCGGCTGGTTCTCGACGTTATTTAAGAGAGCCTCCGTGACTGCACGCAGTTGATAGCTCGTGGAAATTCCAATGGTCTGCTATACAAATACTTGATTGTTATTGAAAGATATAAAGTTACCGAGAAAACATGTGATAATCGAATGGTTTAAGAGAAAAATCTTGGAGGATTTTTTGTTTACAAATGCAAAAACTGATGTAAGAGTTAATTGTGTTGGCACATCTCATACACGGCCGTCTGATCCCAAGTCAAGCAGAGCCTGTAATATGGTAACCAGACGTTTTTTGAACTTAAATTCTTCTAATTATATACATAATTTAGATGCATATTTTTTGTTTTAATTCCTGATTTTTTTCTACGTCATTATTTTAAAAGTAAAGCGTATCGTAAGCAAAATGTCTTAATAATATAATTTATTTTATGTTTTTTTTGTAACTTACGTAACCATAAAGAATACCTTCCACAAGATCTACGAGTTCTTTGATGACGAAAAGTTAAGTATTGATTATCACTTTGATTAGCACACTCTTCCGATATTAAATTAATATATACATGAAAATCAATTTCGAACAACCCTGTCGCACAACAACTGTACAATACACAACAGTTTCAATCAACAGAGTGGTCACTCAGACCTAGTGCGTCAGCTGGGCGCGGTGACAGGTTAATTTCGCATGCTAATTTACGAATATGTATTAAAATATTACACTGTACCGTGCTACATTACAATTTCTACATACATATTAAGAGACAAAGTGAAATTATATCTATCATTAAGTATAATTGGCTTTCTTTTCTAAGATAATCATTAAAATTCAAATGAATTGATTAAATATTAATAAAGAGTTAAACAAAGCTGGCAGCCGCAGAATTCTATGCTCAAATTATAAATGATTAAGAAGCAAAATAAGGTTTTCATCAGCTTTGGTAAAAACATAACTGAAGGGCATCATAGTCGATACAGAATAGTAATGAGATTACCATTTCCCTCA